AAAAAAGAAAATTACAGACCAATATCTCTCATGAATATAGATGCAAAAATTCTCAACAAAATTCTAGCCAATAGAATTCAGCATCATATCAAAAAGAATAATACACTACAATCAAGTGGGATACATACCAGGTATGCAAGGATGATTCATCATTAGAAAATTAATCATCATAATCCACCACATAAATAAAAGGAAAGAAAAGAATCACATGATCATCTCAATTGACGCAGAAAAGGAATCGATAAAATCCAACACCCATTCCTGATAAAAACTCTCAATAAAATAGCTATAGAAGGGAAATTCTTCAACATAATAAAGGGTATCTATACAAAACCGACAGTCAACATAATTCTTAATGGAGAGAGGCTGAAAGCATTCAGCCTTAGAACAGGAAAAAGACAAGGATGACCTTTATCACTACTCCTATTTAACATTGTGCTGGAAGTCCTAGCTAGAGCAATAAGGCAAGAAAAAGAAATAAAGGACATCCAAATTGGTAAGGAAGAAGTAAAACTATTCCTATTTACAGATGATATGATACTATACATAAAGAACACAAAAGACTCCACAAGAAAACTACTGGAACTAATAGAAAGATTCAGCAGAGTAGCTGGATACAAGATAAACGTACAAAAGTTGGTTGGATTCCTGTACGTAAGGAGAACTATGAGAAGGAAATCAGGAAAACAATACCATTTATAACAGCCACTAAAGAAATAAAATACTTAGGAATAACTCTAACCGGGGACATAAAAGACCAAGGAAGACTACAAAACACTAGTGCAAGAAACCAAAAGAGACATACATAAATGGAAAAACATATCATGCTCATGGAAAGGTAGAGTCAGCATTGTGAAAATGTCAATTCTACCCAAAGCAATCTACAAATACAAAGTAATCTTTGTCCAAATACCAACAGCATTTGAAATGCAAATCAAATGCGAATGCATCTCTTTAAAGATGGAAAAACTAATCATTAACTTTATATGGAAAGGGAAGAGGCCATGGATGAGTAACGCACTACTGAAGAAGAAGAATAAAGTTGGAGGACTCGCACTACCTGCCCTCAGAACCTACTCTACAGTTACGGTAGTAAATGACAGATACATTGACCAATGGAACAGAATTGAGAACCCAGATGTAAATCCATCCACCTACAGTTACCTGATCTTCAACAAGGGCCCAGAGTCCACCAAATAGGGAAAAGACAATCTTTTTAACAAATGGTGCTGGCAAAACTGGATGTCCTTCTGCAAAAGATGAAATAGGACCCATACCTCACACCATATACATAAACTAACTCAAAGTTGATCAAAGACCTAAATATAAAACCAAAAACTATAAAGATCATAGAAGAAAAAAATAAGATCAATGCTAGAGGCTCTACTACACGACATTAACAGGATACAAACCATAGCAAGCAATATACAAACTCCAGAAAATAAGCTAGATAACTGGGATCTTCTGAAAATTAAACAGTTATGCTTATCAAAAGACTTCACCAAAAGAGTAAAAAGAGAATCTACAGACTGAGAAAAAATTTTTTGGCTATGACAAATCCAACAAAGATCTAATCTCTGAAATCTGTATGAAAATCCAATACCTCTACAGCAAAAAGACAAATAATCCAATTAAAAAATGCGCAAAGGATATGAACAGACACTTCATCAAAGAAGACATTCAGGCAGCTAACAGACACATGATGAAATGATCAAGATCACCAGCCATTACACAAAAAAAAAAAAAATAACCCGTTGTCATCAAGTTAATTCTGACTCATAGAGAAATGCAAATCAAAACTACAATGAGATACCATCTAACCCTGACATTACTGGCACTAATAAAAAAAAAATCAGAAAATCACAAATGTTATGTTGGCATATGTTGTGATGTCCCTAATTTGATCTTATACTAATCCATACAATATATAGTATCTTACATAATATATCCATCATAAAAAATTATTGCCACCAAAAATAAAGGCTAAAAAATTTGCTGCTTCCTTCCTGTATGCTGAGGTCAGAAGAAGCATTTGAAATATTTAGATCTATCTGCTGGTGTTTACATGTGTAGATTAATGTAGTTTCTTTTTTTTTTTTTTTTTTATCCTGTTTGTATGGGTCATGACATTACTCCATATTTTATAAAACTTTTTGTTTTAGTCCTAAGACTTATTGTAGGAGAATACCTGGAAATTAAATATTTCCACTGATCAAATGATTAAAGCATACTTATTTGAGCTGATGTGTTTTTGCCACTGCAGAAAACCTCTTCTAAGTTCAGCATCCTGATTGCCTCACACTGCTGTCATGTCAGTCTTCAGCACTTCTAAAGTGAAAATCTCTACATTCTTCCAGATTGAGATCCCAGGAATGGAAAACACCTGTATTTGGGTTTCAATCCCCATTTGTGTCACTTGCTTCATTGCCACCATAGGGAACTGCACCATCCTCTATTTCATAAAAATAGAGACCTCTCTACATAAGCCTATGTATTATTTCCTCTCCATTCTGGCATTTTCTGATCTGGGACTGTCCATCTCTTCCCTTCCAAGTATGCTGATAATCGTTTTATTCAATGCTACAAAAATTTCCTCAGATGCCTTGCTCAAGAGTTTTTCATTCATGGATTCTCAATCATGGAGTCATCAGTACTTCTCATCATGTCTGTTGACTTCTTTACAGCCATCTACAACCCTTCTCATCATGTCTGTTGACCACTTTACAACTATCTACAACACTTTGAGATACACCTCTATTCTTACCAGGGCCAGAGTCATTAAAATGGGCTTTGTGCTTGCTGTAACAAGTATTATGTATGTTCTCCTTTTCCCCTTTATTCTACAGAGGCTAAAATTCTGCAAGAAAAGTCTTATATCCCACCTGTATTGCCTCCACCAGTATGTCACAAAGCTCTTCTGTTCTGACAACAAGGTCAATACTATCTATGGATTTGTTGTGGCTCTTGCTTTTATACTATATTTTGTGTGCATTCCTGTGTCTTGCATGCTGATGGTGCAATTGTTCTGGGAATTGCCTTACACAAGGGAAACCGTGTGGCAGTCCCTCAAAAAACTAGCAATAGAACTATCATATGACCCAGAAATTCCACACCTAGGAATATACTCAAAAGAAATATACCCAAAAGACTCGAAAGCAGAGACTCAGAAAGAGATTTGTACACCAATGTTTGTAGCAACACTATTCACAATAGCCAAAAGGTGGAAACAACCTAAATGTCCATTAACAGATTAATTAGTAAACAAAATATGGTACATACACACAATGGAATACTACTCAACCAGTAGGAGAAATGAAATCTTGATATAGGCTACAGTATGGATGGAACTTGAAGACATTACGCTGAGAGAAATAAACCAACCACAAAAGGACAAATATTGTATGACCTCACTTATAAAAAATGACAAGAAAAGGAAACGAATAAGTAAATAAACAAAGAGGCTGTCAAACTGTTAAAAAAGAAAATGCAGCCTGTCAGACAGCGCACCCTCAGGTGGCAAGTACAGCCATGTATTCAGGGAGTTGAGCCTTCTCCTCTGTCCTCCTGCCACATTCATGATAGCTGTCCCTTCTTAAAAGCATATCATTACATAATAAAAATAACAAATGTAAAAAAAAAAAAGTGTACCTCTCCAAGATTTTGTTTTCTTGTCTATAAAATGGATAAAATAATAATATAAGAACATAAAATAGATAATCTATGTAAATCCATTAGAATGTAAATATATATTGTTGTTGTGTGCCATCGAGTTGATTCCGACTCATAGCGACCCTATAGGACAGAGTAGAACTGCCCCATAGGGTTTCCAAGGAGCAGTTGGTATGGCTTCGAACTGCCGACGTTTTGGTTAGCAGCCTCAGCTCTTAACCACTTTGCCATCAGGGCTCCAATATATACATATGTTAAGTTAAAATAATAGCACATACAATAAAATAATTACATTTATGGGCGCTTACCCTGTATGTTTAAATTAAATCTCAATAGTGACTAACTCTAAAAAGCAAAGCATTCTTCAAGACAATGATGAGACATCTGTGAAAACACAGATGGCCAAAGTCTATTGACGTGAGATCATTTTAGCACAATTGGAAAAACAATTTTTATGGCTCAGATAAGAAGTTTCAGAAGATGAATAAACTCATAAGATGATGGTTATCATGTCCTTATCTGCAGTATTGACCTTTCTCTTACATTCCAAACACTTATCCTTAACTTCTACTAGGTTCCCAAGAGGAACCCTGATGACACAATGGTTAAATGCTCAGTTGCTAACCAAAAGGTCAGCAGTTCAAACCCACCAGCGACTCCGTGGGAGAAAAGACCTGGTATCTGCTCCAGGTGAAGATTATAGCCTAGGAAACCCTACAGGGCAGTTCTACTCTATCCTACAGCGTAGCTATGAGTTGGAATTGACTCGACAGCATACGGCAACAGCAGGTTCACAAGGGAAAGAGGTTCTTGGACAGCACTTCGGAGCGCTCACACATTTAGAGGTTGGTAAGAAGAGCCCTGGTGGTGCAGAGGTTAAATATGTGACTGCTAACCAAAAGATTAGCAGTTCGGATCCACCAACCACTCCTTGGAAACCCTATGGGGCAGTTTTTCTCTGTCCTGTAAGGTCGCTATGAGTCTGAATCGACTCAGCAGCAATGGGTTTGGTTTGTTTGTTTTTTTTTAAGGAGAGCAAAATCTGTTAAAGAAGCAGCCGCAGAATCGCTAATAGATTATACTGTCCTAGAAGCCAAGGTTCTTCCATTTCTGGGGGAATGTTGTCCAAAGAGAAGACGATCAAAGGAACTGAGGAAGTAAATGAATTTATAAGTGATGACTGAATAAACTTTGAATGTTTAGCTGGAAGAAAGCATAATATAGTGGAATGAGCTTGGGTTTTATAGTCAGACAGAGCACATAGAATGAATGCCTTTGATACTCAGTAACCTTACCCTTATATTCTAGTGCCCTTAGTATTCCTGAGATATTGAGAAAATCTCTTCAACTCTCTGGTATTTGGATTTTACATCTATAAAACTGTGCCTTGAATGAGGATTGGCAGCTTCTGCTTACTGCTTCTTGAAACACATGCCGGTAAAAATAAAGAAAAAAAAAGTTAAAAAAAAGAAAAGTACCTATATCAATGCCTCTCTTTAAAAACTGTTTCTGTACTGTTATGGATTGAATTGTGTCCCCCCAAAATGCATGTCAAATTGGCTAGGCCATGATTACCAGTATTGTGTGATTATCCTCCATTAGGTGAGCTAATTACCCTATGTGTTGTAAATCCTAACGTTTATGATGTTAATGAGGCAGAATTAGAGGTGGCTATGTTAATGAGGCAGGATGAAATCTATAAGATCAGGTTGTATCTTGAGTCAATCTCTTTTAAGATATAAAAGAGAGAATGGAGAAGAGAGGAGAGGGAATTTATACCACCACGAAACAAGAGCCGGAAACAGAGTGTGACGTTTGGACCCAGGATCCCTGCAATGAGAAACTTCTAGACCCAGGGCAAGATTGATGACAAGGACCTTCCCCAAGAGCTGACAGAGAGAAAGCTTTCCCCTGGAGCTGGCACCCTGAATTGGGACTTCTAGCCTCCTAAACTGCAAGAGAATTAATTCCTGTTGGTTAAAGCCATCCACTTGTGATATTTCTGTTATAGCAGCACTAGGTAGCTAAGACACTTGCCTTTCTTCACTTTCCTAGCAAATAAAAGCCTATTAAGAGAATATTTAAGATGATTCTTCTGTTTTTTCTCTTTTATCTTAAGTTTTATGATAATACAGTGGTTGGTCTGTCTAATTCCAGGATTCCAGAACTCCATACACACATTCACTAATTTTAAAATAGATATATCTACAGCATATTTTGGCATAAAGATTCAAACTGTAAATGGTATTATTTTGGAGTCATATATGTTAATGACATTATTACTGAAGTTATTAAAAAGAACCCACAATGATCCATTTATTTTAGAGGTCTTTATAAAAAAAAATAAATTTATCTTTTCATTTGTACATCTTCACCTCTAACAACTGCTTTTTAGACATTTTCCCATGTATACCTATCTACTTCTTAGCAGTCAATTTTAACCAGTTATCTAAGCGGTATCTCTTTTATGATTCAAAAGAAATCTTATTATTTTCCTCAATCTTTTATCCAGATACAATCACATTTTCAACTTGAAGTCTTTCCTGACCATCTACAGCCTAGACAGATTTTTAACTTCTCCCAAACTTTATTTTTTGTCTTTAATATTACTCTTAAATACCCAAAACCAAACCCGTTGCCATGGAGTCGATTCTGATTCCATAGCTACCCTGTAGGACAGAGTAGAACTGCTCTATAGGGTTTCCAAGGCTGTAATCTTTAGGGAAGCAGAGTGCCACATCTTTCTCCCATGGATTGATTGGCTGGTGGGTTCGAACCACCAACTCTTCAGTTAGCAGCCAAGCGCTTAACCAGTGCGCCACCAAGGCTCCTATTATTACTCTTATATATCCTATATTGCCTTGTATTCCTAGGTATCATTTATACATACATATAACTTTTTATAACATACCTTAAGCTATTATTCTCTGCTAGAATATGAGCTCCTGAGGAGCAGTAACTGTCTGTAATATTCACTACATCATACCAGCCGCTAACACAGTGAGTGGCCTGTAGTAAACACTCAAATAAATGAATAAATGTGTGACTACTTAGTACACACTGGGAGAGAGAACATAGAGTCCTAAAAGTCGCTTTCATACACAGATACACACACATATACACACACACAAACTCATACATGTGTGCATATATCCACAGATATGTGATTCTCATCTTCAATTTATAATACTCCACATTTCTTCCCCTAATACCTCTTCTTTTCTCCTTCTAATCTTCCATACTAGCATTGTCAGCTTTCCCCAAAACTTTTAGAAAGATGTACACTTTACTATTGTAGAAAAATAAATTATCCTCAGCTCATTCATGTTTTTAATGTTTTTTCTGTGTGTCCATCATAAGCTTCAATGCCATTGAGTATCTGCCTTAGGTTGCAAACAAGACAATGTGTTTATCTTTTTATAATGCTTATTCACAATGCTGTGAATAAATATGTTTAATAAAAACATTGAGAGGACAGTGAGATGATGATGATGTTTATTTTGACAAAGGAGAGTAGTAAATAAAGTTAAGAAGTCAGAGAGGTTGGGAAAGAAGAGACTTGGGGGACTCCATTCAAACTGAGAATAAAACAATTGCAAAGAAGATGAGATTTCTTGACCAAAGACCATGTTCTGACAATCTACTTGCATAACAATGAACTTCAAAAATTAGTGTCAGACTAGGATTATGGCCACTTTATTATTTTAATAATGGTGTTTACTGAGAATCCATTCAGCATCAGCTCTTCTATCCAACTGTTTGTTCCAATTGTTTAATTTTATTCTGGAAGAACTCTTGATGTAGATTTGGTAGTTAAAATAAGTTGGTGAAGTATTTGAAGGTGTTGAACTGACATCGGAGTATAAACTCCTGAATCAAGACCCAAGTCACATGTTTACTGGGAAAGAAAGCACAGGAATGGTGAATCATAATTCAGAAATTTATAGTTTTTATAAAAACTGAATTCCAAGGAGAACTCTCCTTCACCCTAAATTCCAACCAAATCGTATCAGCAGCTACTCTAAAGCAGATGAAAATGCTTGATAATACCTAGACCTCTGTGAATAAGAAGGGATAAATTCCCTTTTTAAAACATAAGGAAATAATCTCAGAGAGATTAAGTAATTTGTCCTAGATCACGTGGTTAGAAGGTAGCAGAGATAAGGTCTGTTCAGATAAAGATCAGCTTTATGTGAATTCTCTCTCTTTCTTTGGTATGAAATACTGTTTTCCAGGTCTAGTTGCGTCTTTCTTATCTAGTTTCAGAAAATGAAATCTATGCTTAAAAACATCCTAACATCTTGATCCCAGACATGCCTTGACAGAATAGCATTTGTTCCATTAACACTTGCTTGCTTTTTCCCTCCTATACTCAGGTATGGGGGATTCTCAGACTCTGGTGGCCTCCATTCTCGGCTGAGAGACATGAGAATTTCCCAGGGAACGCTCAGCCTCAGCAGAGGCTCCTGAAGAGAAGCTGCTGAGCTCTTCAAAAAGGCCCTGTTTTTTAAACAGAATATTCTTGTAGCTGAGCTACTACCTGTCCTGAGCTCTGACAGGACATATGCACTCCCATTCCTTTTCCTTCCAGCTGCTGGTGATCAGGTATGTACTGTATCACACAGAGGGCAGCAAGGAGCACAGACATAACTGGGGCACAGAGAACCAGGGATAAACACTAAACTCTCAGTCTTAGATACTTGTTATATCTCTGCTTCCAGTTACTCAAGTCAGTTTTGAGAGGCAATTGGACTGGGAAGAGGAGTCGTGCGGTTATAGTCTTGGCTTTGTCAGTGTATGTGACCTTGTAGAAACCAACTTCATCTATTTGGAGCATTAATCTCCTTTTCTTCAAAATGGGAATTGTAATCTCTACTTTTCCTGCCTTAAAACTGTAGTATGAGAATTAAACAACAAAGTGAATTCATCAGTGTTCTGTAACAGTTAAGTTCTATACTAATATAATGATTGTCTTTGGGAAGAATTTTGTAGACTGTCACCAACACTGATGCTGATAATCGTGAACATCTTTATGTACAATTATATGAGGAATATGAGTCCATGAGAGTCAGGGTGTCAGTGGGATCACTGCTCAGCACATCTCTGCTCTCTCTCTGCCAGAGGCCCTAAGATAATATCTCTTTCTCCCAATAAATTAGACAATCTGATTTAGACCTGAAGAGAGCCTCAAAAGTGCAAAAGTCTAGTGGAGGAATCAGCTGTCTCTTTTCTGATCCGTTAATATGGAGGTGAATGTCTTTGAGAAGATAATGTAGAATAATTGCACTAAAAATTACCCTGTTTAATCCCTGCTACATCTTTTTTTTTTGCTCACCCATGCATTCATATATTCATGCATTCATTCAACTTTCAGCAAACTTTATTAGGTTCCAAGTCCGTTTCAGGGTTGCAATTCTATTGATGTACAATTCCTTCTCTCTGGTGCTGGCCATGAGTTGCATTTATCTTTTTTTTTTTTTTTTTTTTTTGCCTCCTCATACCCTTTACCTGACAAAATATAAAATGCAAGGACTATATTTGGAAGAGGAACTCTAGTGGTGCAGTGGTTAAAAGCACTCTGCTGCTAACCAAAGTGTCAGCAGTTTGAACCCATAAGCCACTCTGGCGGAGAAAGATGTGGTGGTGGTCTGCTTCCATAAAGATTACAGCCTTGGAAACCCTATGGGACAGTTCTTTTCTGTCCCATAGGGCCACTATGAGTCAGAATTTACTCGATGGCAGTGGGTTTGGTTCGTTTCAGTTTATCTGGAAAGGGTTAGGGAAACCATAGCTGGGATAGAATACTATGAAGACCCCTTTTCACTAAAAGGCAGAATGACCCTCCCCTGTCTGGAGATAGATGGGTGAAATAGATTACTTAATGTTTCTTCTATCTCTCAAACTCTCTGAGATGTCTCAGAGTAAGAAGTGTGGAAATCAGGTTCACTGTGAGTCCTCTGGCTAAAATGTCACACATGTATTTAAGCTCTTGTTGCATCTCTCCTTTATTTGCAGAAAATTTATCCTTCTTTATTTTCATTCCTTTTTAAAATGATCTTGTCATTTTCTCTCTCAATCACTGTTGTTAATTTCAGAGCCAGGTCGAGTTGTCCTTTGTGCTTCCCATGGTCTGTTTTCTAAATCCTATGCCGTCCATTTTTTGCTTCACAATCCGTCTCCTCTCCAGGGTTCCATTTCTCCCTCTGTTCTTCCTCTCTCGTAACTGCCCCTCTTTATATCTTTTTCTTGTTTTTCTTTTGAAATCATAAAACAATAAGGTTTTTTAATTATTATATTAATTATTAAATTGTGTTATTATTATTTGTCTTTATTTGAAGTGTGAGTGGTAAAAGGTATGGACCTTTTTTATGTCATCCTCAGCCCTTCAATGTCGCTCTATTTTACCGAGAAGGAAGCCACTTGAACGAGTACCCTCAGCTTCCCATTCCTCTTCCTTATAATATCCTTGTATCTTCACTTATCCTGTAGATTTTCTCTTAGGGGAAAATCACACAAACAATAGACTTTTTACTTATTCCTTCCCACCTGCTGCTGATGGCTTAAGCCCTTCTACTCTTTCTCCACTCTACTGAAAATATTCTCTAAAAAAAAAAAAAAAAAAATCAACAATGACCTCACTATCATAAACACAATTTTTTTTTAATTCTCCTACTACTTCATCTTTTTTATAGTCAACACTGATGACTTGTCTTTATTGATATTATGTGCTCCTATTTTCATTCTTTTTTTCTGATTATCTCTCTCTTTTCTAGTTCCAATTTAATTTGCGTAGTCCCAGTGTTAGAGAATAATCCCGTTTCTTCTGATTCCTCACTGTATATACTAGCAATTTTATCCATACTCAGGTCAGACATTCTGTAACTCAAGTCCGCACTCAAACAAATGATTGCTACATGTAATATTCTGTACACATTCTCCCAGGAATTCCTTTTTAAGCTCACATTCAGCATATCCTAAACTGAACTCGGCCCCTAAAACATGTTTCTTCTCTATTGTCACCCATCTTGGCCCATCTAATGTTATACATATGATGGAAACAGTTATCACAGACTTGTCCAAAGTAGGAAACTCACAGGTTTTTATTATTTATTTAAACTTTTCTGACCCCCGTAAAGGCTATGAAGTAGTAGCAGGGGATACAGTGTAGAGACTGATCATGGAAATTTGAAACACACTCTCAGAGTTTGAACCCCATTCTCAGCCCTTATGTGCTTTGTAAACTTACCCTGATCATGTCACCTGTCTATGCCGCAGTTGTTTTTTTTTTTTTAATCTGTAATATGAGCCTAAGAATAGAACATGTGTCATAGGATTGTTGAGAGAGTTGAATGACGTAATAAACATCAGGCATTTAGAAAGGTGATAGGCACATAATATATTTTTAAATGTTGTATGCACTATATTAATATGCGAATAACTCAATGTAGAGTGTCTTGCAATAAATGAAACTGAATAAAAGTTCTGAAGGCAGGAAAAAAGGAGACCCCCATCTGAGGTATTATAGGAAAGGAACTATGCCTGTGTGTCATCTCAATTGAAGCCCCAGAGGCATAACTCACTCTGAGAGACTTCAAATTTGACTTTCTCATTCTAAGTTACAGACAAAAGACTTTTCCTGGCCATTTCAGGTTTTTCTTCTTTTTTCCTTTGGCTTCAGACTTGATGCATACCTCATGTGCATCCGTATCCTCTCTGGCCCCAGTTTAGCTGCCCTGATGTCTCCTGGTCTCTCTCAGAATTAAGTTCTAAAGACTCTTTTCCTAGAATTACTTCTTTTCTGAAGGCCTGCTTCTTCTCAGATGTTCTTCAGGCTTCAGAATCACATACCACCACTTACCTCCTTATCCACCAAAATCTTTTATGTAGAGACAGGAGAGGCATCTCTCTGGTCAAAAGTTACAAGTTCAAGGATTTCAGTAAAAATTTGCTCAACACTTGCTCTGCCCTTCATGTAGGACTAGGCACATGGAATGATACACAACATAGTAAAAGCAGTCCCAGTCCTCAGGTAAATTACAAACACATTCGAAGGCACATCACATGCATCTGATTTTAGTAGAAGATTATGCAAACTTATGTAGTACCAATTTCCTGTATATGCAATACAGATTGTCAGTGCTTTAGTGATTGAATTGGAGATTCATCAAGGAGGAACATATGAAAGAAATACCATTTGAAGCAACCTCATTAAACCTCTGAGAGGCTAACACTGGTAGACCATACGTCCATAACACTAAACCACATGACACCCATAGGCTATAGCAATCTTCTGTAATGAACCCCTTCCGAGACCCTATAGGGAAAGGCTAGTAGGTCGGATCTCCCAATTCTCTCCCATTCCATCTGCAGAGGCTTTCTGGTTCACTGGTCCTGGGACATTTAGTTGAGTGGGAATTCAGCTCTATCCTTCATCAAGGATCTCATTCTATATTGCAGATTGGTGAATCCAAGGTTGTAAATTCATGACGTTTTCCATGGCTGGATTTCTATTCCCTTCTGCTCCATCTTCTCGACAGTAATTATAGGGAACCTTATCATCCTCCGTGTCATTCTCACTGATGCTACCCTCCATGAGCACATGTACTATTTCTTGGCTATGCTGGCCCTCACAGACTTGGGCCTTTGCCTTTCCACACTGCCCACAGTCCTAGGCATCTTTTGGTTTGATGCACAAGAGATTGGCATCCCTGCCTGCTACACTCAGCTCTTCTTCATCCATACCTTGTCTCTACTGGAATCTTCAGTTCTATGTCCATGTCCATTGACCACTATGTGGCCATCTGCAATCTGCTGCATTACTCTACCATCCTGACACCTGCATGCCTTGTGAAGACGGGACTGAGCTTAGAAGTGCCCTCCTCATCCTCCCCCTGCCATTCCTCCTTAAACACTTTCAGTACTGCCGCTCCCATGTGCTGGCCCTTGCCTACTGTCTGCACCTGGAGATCATGAAGCTGGCCTGCTCTAGCATCATTGTCAACCACATCTATGGGCTCTTTGTAGTAACCTGCACTGTGGGTATGGACTCCCTCCTCATCTTCCTCTCCTATGTCCTTATCCTATGCACTGTACTGAGCATTGCCTCCCTCCAGGAGCGACTTCTGGCCTTCAATAACTGTGTTTCCCACATCTGTGCTGTGCTACTCTTCTACATCCCCATGATTGGCTTGTCTCTTGTGCACTGCTTTGGTGAACATCTGCCCCGCATTGTACACCTCCTCATGTCTTACGTGTGTCTTCTGGTACCACCCCTCATGAACCCCATCGTCTACAGCATCAAGACCAAGCAGATCCGACAATGCATTGTTAAAAAGTTTGAACTTGTAAAGACACTTAGGGGTTTTCAGCAGAAGTAGGTTAGGATAAAGAGTGCATGTTTGGTCATAAAGCCCTTAGAATTTTAGTTTCAGCTACGCTATAGCAAAAACAACTAACTCCATTATCAACAAAAAAGGAATTACCTGTGTGATATACTGACTATGTGACTTTGAGAATGTTACCTACCTCTCTGTTTTTTAGCTCCCTCAGCTGTAGAATGAGCATGAAAATAATTATGATAATTTCCTCTTATGGATTTTGTGAAGATTCAATGAGATAATTTATGTAAATCTCTTAACACAGTGCCTGACACAAAATTCTGAATAAATATGAAGACTATTGTTATCTGAGAAAATCCAAAAGAGGATATAAATTTTATTTTTAATTCCTCTGGGCAGTGGAACTTTTATCTATGACATATCTTTTTAAAATTTCTGACTCCTTTTGTATTACTTTATTAAAATTATGGTATTTTTAAATACATTTGCAACAGATTTTCACACACACATAATCACACCCCAAGTAATGCTGGTCTGGGGCTATATTAGAATGACTTTTTATGAAGGTGCTCACTAAACACACATCCACAAAGTTAAGAAAAAGAGCAGTTATCCTGGAAGTTGGAGGAAAGATATCAAATTGGAAGGAATAAATGTATTCAGGGATAATCCTCAAAGTAAGGCATAGAAGCTAAGAGTAATTGCTCACCAGCTCAGTGACTAGTCAAGGGATTTGACTTGTTCATTTATCTGTTCTCTACATTGCTGGTGTGGAAAGATGGGGGGAAGGCACATATTATTTTATGTCTGTTTGCTAGACATTTGTCTCATTTTTGTGTTCAGCCACATATAAAACAACACGCATGCATACACTACTGTTGTTCTTTGTGAATGTGTTTTGATGCTTTTGTGTGTGAGTGTGTGTATTTGGCTGTGCACTGCTGAATTGTGTTGGTAGATATGTCCCAGTTAGCTTGTTTGTTTATACGCGTCTCTATACATTTCACATGTATCTAGATACATGCAGAGTGAACTACACCCGTTTATATGTTCATGTAGGTAGATATGTTCTCCCTTAGGACTTTATCTGGTGTCATGGGAAGGAGAGAAAGTTTAGGCTAAACAACTCCCTTCTCTTTCTAGTTATCTTGGCTTGACTCCAGATACCTAGAGGAGGCCATTGGAAGTCAAGTATAGCCTCATCATACAAATAGGTAATTTGGGAAGAAAACTTGATATGCAGCTAGGTACCCAGCATTAGACAGGAGACCTAGAGGGAGGGGTGGATGGTGAAGAGAACTCCTTTTCCAGACTCACAGCAAGGACAGTCTTAGTGATATGCTAATTAGACAGTGGCATTTTGTGGTCTGCAAAACACTGGTACACCCTCCCCTAACCTGTCATATTTTTCTCTTTGTTCTAGAATTTGTTTTAAAAACTCATTAAAATAGGGTCTTCTGAAAGCATACTTCAACTCAGACCAGTACTGCCATCCAATCTGCCTAAGATACTAAATAAAATTCAGGCTTATGTTGTAAAGTAGTCTATGATAATAGAGACTCAATTATGTTGTGATTAAATGCAACTCATTTTAGGAAGGAAGACATTTCATCATACATAGGTGGTGCATGTCTTTGACTCTTGCTGTATTTTTTTTTAATTTCTCTTACTAGACTAATTAATTTAAGATCACTTTTAACATATTTATACTTTTTCTTATTTTATGATAAAAGAAAATTCATGGACATCTCTCACACTTAATTGAAGCAAGTTTAAGTATTTGATCCACACTACCTATGTCAGTTATCAGTTTATTGCCTCTCAGCTCCAAATTCACTTTTTGCTGATCTCTGATAACAGAGCTGAGCCTTGTAAGTATTTCTCTTTTGCCATCCTGCATGATGTTAAACCTTCAGCAGAGGGCACTGGACGTACAGTGAAGGAGGATGAGGTCTCTCTTCCTGGTTTGAGGATGCTTATCTAGCTGTGCTCCTGCAGTGTGTGTGGCTCTTTTTAGTAGTGACCGGTAGCCAGCAGCAGGTGGCAGCTCCTGTGAATGGCTTTGTATTTCAAGTTCAGCAGCACTCCCAAGGGCAGCTAATAACTTCTGGGGGTCTCTCAGCTTGCTTCCATGAAGTATGCCAGTGATGACTTCTCAGTCAGTCAACAGCAGCCCCTCTTCCTCAAGCAGCTTCCAGCCGGTGCCCCTGCTGAATTTCCAGAATGTCAACAGCAATCCATATGGGCAACATCCTGGCAAATTTCTCTGGCATCCCAGCAGGTGGTTCTCCACCCACCGGCATCAGCCTGATAATTACAGACCAGCTTTGGCACAGAACAACTTCATGAACTTCTCTGTCACCCAGTGGTCTTCAACCATATGCTCTCCAGTGAGGTCAGAATCCCAGCCTTGGGAAAGATTCTTCCCCTGAACTTTTGTCCTTCCTTGAATACTCTCCCTAAGCCTTGGAGTGTCCCTTAGTTATTTTGGTTGTTGTTGTTGCTATTGTTTGGTTTTTTGTTTCTTTGTTTATCTCTCATAATCCATTCCCCTTACTCCCATATCATTTTTGTTGTTGTTGTTGAGAATATACCCAGCAAAACACACACCAATTCAACACTTTCTACATGTACAATTCAGTGACACTGATCACGTTTTTCAGGTTGTGCAATCATTCTCACTCTCCTTTTCTGAGTTTTTCCCCCCCATTAATATAAACTCACTGCCCCCCTAAGATTCCTATCTAATCTTTTGAGTTACTGTTGTCAATTTGATTCTACATAGATAATTCTTAGTAGAGTATAATGCTCAAGGCAGACATTTTACTAGTTAGGTTAAACTAGTAGTTTAGCTTAACTAATAAAAGTTTTAAGTTAGTTTTAAGAAGATTTCAAAGGATATTTTTGGTTTGAGGTTTAAAGATTATCTCAGGGCAAGAGTTTCAGGGGTTCATCCAGCCTCTATGGCTTCAAAAAATTTGCAGTCCATGAGAATTTGAAATTCTGTTCTACATTTCCCCCTTTTGAACAGGATTCTTAGATAGAATCCTAGATCAAAATGTTCAGTAATGGCAGGAGCGTACCATCCAGTTCTTGTCTCATGGCAAAGGAGGCAGTTGTTCATGGAGGAAATTAGCCACACATTCCGTTTCCTTCTCCTATTTACTGACTCTCTTTCTTCCTCTATTGCTTTGGGTGAATAGAAACCAACTGCTGTGGCTTGGATGGCCACTTGCAAGGTTTTAAGACCCCAGGCACTACACAATGAACTAGGAGGTAGAACAGAAGCACTAAAAACGTTATTAGGCCAGTTAACTTGGATGTAACACGATGCCACAACTCTGAAACTCCAAACTATGGAACCAAGACCCATGAGGTGGCTGGTTGCATGTAAGCAACCTCAGGAGCTACTCTTTTCTTTTTTTTTTTTGTCGTTGTAAATATATCACACAACTTTTTCCAATTCAGCTTTTCACAGGTGTACAACTTATTGACAACAATTACAATAATCACCTTTACAACCTTACCCTTAATCAATACGATTTTTCCATCACTGTTAACCTCCTTTCCCCCTCCCTCACATCCCTGGTAAGCACTAATAAACTTTGATCTCTATGTATTAGCCTTTTCTTCACTTTTTTATGTAAGTGAGGTCATACAATATTTGTCGTTTTGTGATTGATTTCATTCAGCATAATGTCTTCAAGTTCCATCCATATTGTAGCGTGTATCAAGACTTTGTTTCTCCTACTGGTTAAGTAGTATTCCATTGTATGTATGTACCATATTTTGTTTATCCAGTCATCTGTTGATAGGCATTTAGGTTGTTTCCACCTTTTGACTATTTTGAATAGTGTTGCAAAGAACATAGATGTATAAGTCTCTGTTTGAGTCTCTGCTTTCAAGTCTTTTGGGTATATACCTATGCATGGAATTGCTAGGTCATATGGTAGTTCTATTTTTAGTTTTTTAAGAAATTATCACTATTTTCCACAATGGTTGTACCATTTTGCATTCCCACCAGCAATGGATAAAGGTTTCAATTTCCCCACATCCTCATCAACATTTGTTATTTTCTGTTGTTATTGTTTTTGTTTGTTTGTTTTTAATCATAGCCATCCTATTGGTAATGAAATGATATCTCTTTGTGGTTTTCATTTGCATCTCTCTGATGGCTGATGATGCTGAGCATCTTTTCATGTATTTGGTGGCCATTTGAATGTCCTCTTTGGTGAAATGTCTGTTCAAGTCCTTGTCCCAATTTATGATTGCATTTTTTGTCTTTCTGTTGTAAAGTTGTCAAAGTTTATATATATTAGTTATTAGATTCTTACCAAATATATAGTTTCTGACTCCAATATCGTTTTAATAAGACTTTATATTAAGCTTTCTTGTTAAAATCTTGGTGTGGTGTCTATCTCCTGATTAGACCCTAACGTACAACCTAAAGCAAATTCTTTGTATTCTCAGATCTATGAATCTTATTACTTAGTGAAACTCTTAACTCTCTTGGCCACAGATGCATCTTCCCCTACACCTCAGCAAATTTAAGATGTTCTTTCAGAACCTAAGTCTTTTCATTACCCTTCGACAAGCATCTGTTGAATAAGTCTTACAAAAATCTACCTCAAAAGGCAAGTTGAGGGCAATTTGCTTTCAGTCAAAAGTCTGTAAAAGTTAACATCTTGCATCAATGCCTGGATGTGTGTTTGGCAATCTGTCAAAAAAGACACAAGAGTCTTTGGGGAATTTGGGACTTTCTTTAATATTTCTACATTTTAACTTCCAAATGAAATCCAATATGCTGTATCTACCCCTTCCCCATCTGCAGATTTCTCACCGATTAGCTGAGAAATAACAATAATAGTCAGATAATAGGAGTCAGATAATAACACCTGAGCATGTGCTACAAACTGTGTCAAAGCACTCTACATGTACTATTCAATTTGATTCTTTTTTGGAAATTAAGACTAGAGCATCAAAATTTTAAAATAAGGTTTTGTCAGCTGTAAAAATTTTATTGCAGGAAGGTGTTCTCCAGATAGCTGTTAGGTGACTGCCACATACTGATTACTTACATCAAAATTATGAGTTTTCTTTAATATAGAACTATAACCTAGGATCTTGCCCAAGTATTGCCTGTGGTTATTTGTGGAGAAGG